TCTATAACATTATAAAACCTCTTCTATAAAGTTGAGTTGATATGAGATTATACTTTAAAGTTAATTTGTATAGTTTGACTATTTTCTTTTGAATGAAAACAAAAATTTGTGTAAACCCTGAGAAAGTAGTTTTCGTCTGTCTTTAAGCTAATCAGTGGGCTAGTAAGAGTCAATGGATTAGTTTTTGTAAAGGTAACCATGTACAGCAAAATTTTCTTCTATCTGTGAAGTATATTGTACTCTAAAAGAAATAAGAGCCATTATGCAATTAACTGGATACTTTTGCAATCACGTAAGTCTCAGTTAAGAGAGAAAAATTACTACTTTATTGAGATTTCGAATGGTGATTATACATGGGAACTTTCAATGTGTCAACCTTTTTATTAAAGAGAAACAGAATGGAAGAATTCCACATGTATTTGAATGGTTTTGAAGGGTAAAATTGTAGAATTTAGTTTTCATTGTAGAGGCAAAAAAAGAATCATAAGGCATCCACTGAAGTTAAAATCTGTTGCTTTAATGACTGAAGTTAAATTTGAAACTTACAATTTTTAAGTATTAAAAATGTACTCTCATCTTGTGTCCTGACCTGTATATTAGATGATCATAAAGTGGACTTTTAAATGAAAAAAGTGTTATCTAGCTTACTAATGTTTCTGTGTAAACAGATTTATGTTCTTAATAGCCCTGATATATTTCTGTTGGAAACCATGTCTTAGAGTATTGTAAACATTTTATCAGGAAGATGTGGATATTACTTCTCCAAGTGGATAGGAACAGAGGACATATTAGGAAGGATATATAAACTTTATAATACATACAATACAAATTTCAAAATATTATATGACTTAAATATTCAAATGTGAAAAGTTAAAAGAAACAGGTGCCTATTTTATTTTGTGAAATATTCATGTTATCTTCATATTTAAATAAAAATTTAAAATCTTATTAAAGGAGCAGTTTAAAAACCTACTAAAATTTTTAGATTATTTACCCAGGTAACAGCTGGTTTAGCAACAATTATTCAGAGCTTATTATAAGAAAAAACTTTGGCTAAGCTTAGTTTTTCATTAAGATATCCTTCAGTTGCAGTTAACAATTTAGATTACATTATTTCTTAATCATTTTATATTTTAAGTTTAAAATCAGTAATGTATATTATATAAGAACAGCTTTTCAAAATTTAGCTTATACTGCCAATATGGCTATTAAAATAACTGCTTTATTATAAGCTTTGGGTGAATTTTCATATTTTCCCCTTTGCCTTCTCTTAGGTCTTTAGAAATGATACATGTATCTTTTGTTAAGGGAGCAAAAAGAATATTATTTTTTACCATTAATTTAGAACTTTCATAACTTATACTTGAATAAGTTAACTATCATAGTCCTTTTTCCTTAAGCATAGCATCTATTAACATATTGTCATATGTACATTGGCAGAAGCTGTTTTAGAATATGAATTATTTGTAAACCTAATGTGTATTTTAAACTCAGATCTGCCACTTATTACTAGTACAAACCTGGGAAAATTATATATCTGTATATTGATTCCTTTAATGAAAAAATGGGATCTTATTTATTATCTTTGTCATAACATCTGTCAGTGATTATGTGAAATGGTTTACAGCTTACATATAATGATTTGAAAATATAAAGAGGCAATAAAGTGTTCTTTCAGCTCTGATATGATGGTGTACATCTTTATGTTGTGTTATACCACACTTGCTATACTAATGGTGCACTTCAAGAGCACACAAGTGCTCTTATGTGCTGATACCTTATGTTTCTTTGAGTGAGTTTAGTTGCATTTTGTACAGTGTTCTTGACTACAGTTATACAGTTATTATTATTTTTTGTCCAAATATCATTGTGAATAGCATCAACCAAGGATCTGGTTTACATTTTGCTAGTAATTGTGAATATTACATTAGGACGTTAAAAATCATTCTAAGACATAATGATACTAAAAAGGAAATTAGTTTTGTATTGTTTTTAGAGTTTGGGAATATGGAATATATTAAAATGTCTGTAACCATGTGCAAATGGGAATTTTAATGCCTCAAATTTGATAATAATGTTGAATGTCTTCAACAGTTGAAATAATTCATTAAAAATCCCTGAGGAAATATATTAATCAAAATATTTATTCATAATATCATATCATGTTAAATACCTAAGGATTAAACCAGCTTGTTTATAATTCTTTTCTAAGTAGAAAATCAAATAAATAGAAGTACTTAGATTATTACATTAAATATATTCTGCTTCCATAAAAGGAAGTGAATGTGAGTCAGAATAAAAGCAATTAAGAAATAATAATTATTCTCAGGTTTTCCAACTCTACTGTTTATTTTGAATTATGCATAAGCATGTATCATTTAGAAATACAAAAACTAGTTTGTAATGAAAAATACTCAGGATTTTACATTTTGAATTTTGATCAGTATTAATGTCTACATTATTTATATTTCAAAATACCCTAGTGAAACAGGGATTTGTGGATTAAATATACCACAATTTAAAAAAAATATGTTCAAGTAATATTTAATTTAAATGTTATCTGTATACTTGAATATAATGTTTAAATATATAAATTATATATATACACACACACATATGAAACATAAATCCAAATTATATACTGTGTATATAAGTCCTCTGTAACTTGCTCTTTTGGTGTTTTGTTTCTAAGATTCTTTCGTGTTGCTATATATGGCTATTGTTTATTTTACCATTGACTTTTCCATTCTGTTATTAACACATGTTTAAGCCATTTTACAGTTATACCCACTTCCCTCCACCCCATTTCCCACAGTCCCTAACCCTAGACAACAACTAATCTGTTCTCTATATTTGTAAGTTTCTTAATTCAAGATTGTTATTTAAATGGAGTCATTATGATATTTAACTTTTGGGAGTTGAGTTTTACAATCAGCATAACTCCCTTGAGATTCAACCAAGCTGTTTTATAGATCAGTAGCTCATTCTTTTTTATTGCTGAATAGTTGTTAATTCTCCAATGAAATTATACAGCCCTCAGGATTTTTGGGGAATTTTTAAATTACAAATTCAGTTTCTTTAATGATTATAAAACTGTTCAGATTATTTCATTTTAACTGAGTTTTCTTAGTTTGTGGTTTTTGACAAATTTATCCTTTCTAAATTGTTTAATTTATAACCATATAGTTGTCTATAATATTATCTTATTATACTTTACTGACTGCAGCATCTGTAATGATAGTCTCTGTTCCATTCTTGGTGTTTGTTATTTGTGTCTTTTTATCTTTGTTAATCTTGCTAGATAGAGTTTTATCAATTTTGCTAACTTTTTTTTTAAAGAACTAGCTTTTTGTTTTATGATTTTCTGAATTGATTTCCTATTTTCAATTTCATTGATTTCTGCTTTCATCTTTATTTTTCCTTAATTCTTGTAGCTTTGAGTTTCTTGTTCTCTTCCTACTTTCTTGAGGTAGAAACTTAAATTAGTGATTCAAGGCATTTGCTCTTTTGTAATGTAAGCATACATATGTCTCCATGTTTGATATGTTGTACTTTCATTTTCATTCAGTTCTATTTCTTTTTGTTTCATTTGATACTTCATCTTTGACTCATTGGATTACTTAGAAGTGTGTTTAATTTCCATGTGTTTAAGAAATTTTCTTGTCTCTCTTACTGATTTCTAGTTTGATTTGATTATGGCCATAGAACACATTACTTTTTGTTGCTAGGTTAGGGGTCAGACCTGGGTCACCTTCTTTCTTTGGGTGGGGATGGTAAGATATCCTGCTGCCATCCTATTTTACCAATCCCAGCATCTTTAATGAGTTTACCTTTCTATTTCTACTTCTCAGAGTTCTTATTTGGTTGGGCTTTGCATTATTTCCAGAGTTTATTCTTGTTCCTGGCAGGGAAGAGCAGGACTAGAGATGACTCTACACTGTCTTGCTGGAATGGACAACTCTTCATAAAATTTTAATTTCCAATTTAATTATCTGAAATTATTTTCTTTGATGTTGAATGTGGTAGGAATCCAATTTCATTTGGTTTCATTCAGATAATTGCTTGTCCCAGCACAAATTATATGGTGCCCTTTTCACCAATGGTCTGTAGTACCCACTCTGTCATCTAGTTTCCATGTACACATGGGTCTGCTTTCTTTTCTGTTCCATTGGTGAGTTTGTTTACTACTGTGCCAGCACCATACTTTTTAATTATTAAAGTTTTAAATAAGTTTGGATATATCTTAGGGCTAATTCCTCAAACTTATTGTTGTTTTTCAGAAGTGTTTTATCTATTCTATAATTCTAGGACTAGAGATGACTCTACACTGTCTTGCTGGAATGGACAACTCTTCATAAAATTTTAATTTCCAATTTAATTATCTGAAATTATTTTCTTTGATGTTGAATGTGGTAGGAATCCAATTTCATTTGGTTTCATTCAGATAATTGCTTGTCCCAGCACAAATTATATGGTGCCCTTTTCACCAATGGTCTGTAGTACCCACTCTGTCATCTAGTTTCCATGTACACATGGGTCTGCTTTCTTTTCTGTTCCATTGGTGAGTTTGTTTACTACTGTGCCAGCACCATACTTTTTAATTATTAAAGTTTTAAATAAGTTTGGATATATCTTAGGGCTAATTCCTCAAACTTATTGTTGTTTTTCAGAAGTGTTTTATCTATTCTATAATTCTCTATAAATTTTAAAACAGGCTTGCCAAATTCCATGAAATATTTTTTTGGGGACTTTTATTGGAGTAGCTGTAGAAATAGTCAATGTAGAAATAACTGGCATTTCATGATACTGAGTGTTTCAAAGCATGAATGATCATGGATTATTTCCCCATATTTTTAAATGTCTTTCAATAACATTTTACATGTTTCTCTAGATCTTGCATATTTTTGTTAAGTGTAATTCTAAATACCTTATAATTTTTACTATTATAAATGATATTTACAAGTAGTTTAAATAAATAACATCCTTTTGTTGGCTTTGAGGCTTCCTTCACCAGAAATCAAGAGGGAGCCTGTGAGCTCAGTGCACAGTCAGCCCTCCGTTCAGCTCCACGCCTCCATCAACAGGAGGAGAGAGGGGCCTCTCAGACTTGGAATAAGATGACACCTCTTCAGGACACCATTGGCAGGAGACAACAGAGTGCTTGAGTACGCAGAATAAAATCGCCCATCCAGAGAACGTCATGCCTCTGTCAGCAGTAACCAAATGGGAGATTCTGAGCAACACATGTTCCTGTCCTGTCTTCCCTCTTTCTGATCTCCATATTCTTTATCTTCATAAGGCACCCAGGACTCCCAGTTCATCATTTCTTCCAGAATTTGAATCCTCCCTAAAGCTACTGACATTACTTTTTATGATTCAATCTCTCCTCTGCTTTCCTGACTCCAAAAACTTTTCTTTGTACTTTTGGAAACTCAGATCATTGCAAAATCCTCCATATTTTCAACTTCTACTGTGAATGAATTTCCCTTTCACTTTCTGTGATAATAGAAATCTAGCTTTTCCCTAGTTATAGTCTCTCCTGAAGCCATTGGGATTCTGGTAAATGTTTAACAAACAGCTCATTGGAAAAAAAACACATGATTTTTAGTGTTTTCCAATTTCAGTACAGTAAACACTCACACCAAAGCCATTCAAGCTGTACACTTGGCAAGTTGTGTCCATAGTCAAGTATACGTAGCCAAGCCAGTATGAGTCAGCTCCAGCACACCAAGTCTGACAGCACTTTTAATGGTAACTGTTCTTTCTGCTCCCTACTTAACCATAGTATTGGGCCTGGAGGTGAGATAAATATCCCCTTTGCTTATTTCTGTTTCCAGTCTCTTTTCTGTCCCTTGATGAACACACTCTGCCTTGATTTTCTTATTGCCAAAGTATCCCACTCACAATAACTTGAATTACAGGAATACTTCTCTGGTCATTTTGTTGTTGGTGGTGAACTGAAAAAAAACAATCCTGTGATATTAAGAATGAATCCCACCATAATTCTTTATGATTTAAATATTCACATGGGTGATCCTTTTAACACACTGGACTTGCAGTTCCTTGACAGTCTCTCCTTCAGTGATCCTGTTCTTCTGTTCTCAGCCACTCACTTTCTAGTTATTTGATAGAGCTAATTTCTCTTGCTGTTAGCTTCTCATCTCCTACACCTCTGCATGCTGAGGTGTTCCAGAGCTCAGTTCTGGGAACTCTTGGATATCATTATTCCTTAGGTGATCTCATCTCCATTTATAGCTTTGAATTACCTATATGTTAACAACTCCTACTGAGATCTTCTACTGAGATTGCTTCCCTGAATTCTAATTTTTTTTATTCCACTGCATAATTGACACCTTCAGTTGGATATAGATTCTACACTGAAGCTTTGTCTGCTGTAGTTTTCTCCATTTTAATTAATGGAAATCCCATCCTTCTAGTAACTTAGCCACAAGAGTCTGGAGTTATCCTTGAGTCTTTTCTCTCTCACACACTTCACATCACAAGTGAAAAGGAATGACTTTGGTTCTATCTTGGAAGAATAGCGATACTTCCATCCTGTCTTACCACCAGCACCTTTGCTCCCCCTTGCTGCTGCTGTGGCTTTCCTCTCATCTCCAGCTTTGATGACTGCAGTAGCCTCCTCAGTAGACTCTTGGCTTCTTTCTGTTCCTTCATCTCCTTTGAACACAGCAGCCAGGGTGATACTCTCAAAATATAGTAAGTCTGCTTGAAAAACATTTCCTTGCTGAAAACATTCTCTTGGCTTCCTATCTTACTCGGGTCAAGTCATTATATCCTCTGAGACCCTAAGTGGTATGGCCCTACATGGCTTTACCTCTCTGACACATTTCCTGCTACTCTCTCATCTTTTTACCCAATTGCAGACATACTGTCCTTCTACCTGTTGTAGAACACTCTAGACTCTAGGCATGCCCCTGCCTCTAGGCTTTACACTTCAGATTTCCTGCTGTGTTGTCTTCCCTCAGATATCCAAATGGTTTATCTTCTCATTTCCTTTAAATCTTTAATCAAATGTCTCCTTAGAAAGAGACCTTCTACCAGTCTAAATTTTAATGCTGCTGCTCATTCCCTGATCGTTCTTGAGCCTCTTTCTGCTTTATTTTATTCCTTGCATATCTTACATATCTTTCTCTTACACATTTGTGTTGTACTTAGTAACTTGTTTATTGTATCTCTTCCCCACTAGAATGTAAGCTCCATGATTGCAGGGATATTTATGTTTTATTTACTGCTATATTCCCAGTGCCAAAAACATGACTGGCATATAGTAAGTACCCCATAAGTATTTGAAAGCACAAATAAAAAAAGTCCTGTTGGTTGCTGTTAGATAGATATGAAATTGATTACTCTAAGCTGATTTTAAATACAGTGAGCTCTGCTAAACTCTCTGTTTCACAAGTTTGTAGTATTTTTTTGTATGGATTTTTCTTGTAAATAATGATACCATGTATGGACAGTATAGTTGTGATTTTCCTTTTCTGATTCTGGAAAATTTTATATATATTTCTTACCTCTGTGCATTGTCTAGGACCTGTAGAAAGTGGTAAATGGAAGTGGTTGGAGTAGGAATTCTTACCCTGTTCTTGGTTTTAAAAGGAATGCTTTAATGTTTCAATATGAAAAATGATTTATTTAGATTTTTAAAATATACTCTTTATCATGTTAAGAAGTTGTTTTACTTCCATATTTGCTAGGTTTGTTTGTTTGTCATCAGTGTTAGTTTTTTTATTATAAATGGTACATTTTAAAATTGTGTTTAAGTGTAAAGATTTTATTTTATCATGAATGAATTTTGAATTCTCTGCTTCTGAGGTCATTTTCTCCACTGATGCTTTAATGTGACAAATAACATAGGTTTTCAATTGTAAACATTCTCATTATTTCTTGGAATAAAACTAATTTACTCATATATATTATTTAGGTACCACTGAATATAGTTAGCTATTTTTTTTCTTAGGACACTTCTGTTTTATGAATAAAATTGGCCTTTTTATTTTCTCTGTTTAGTTACTGTCATTTTATAATTTTGATATCATCAAATGAGGAAGAGAATATTTGCTCTTTTTTTCTTCTTTGGAAGAGTTTTTTTATTTATGGAAGACCTATTCCTTAAATATATGGTAAAGTCTTATGTAAAACTAATAGGAGTTGGCAGGTATTTATTGGAAGACTTTGTACTATTGATTCAGATTTTTAAAAAGTATAATAGAATTATAGAGGTTATTTCTTCCTTTTTAATTGAGATTTAATTGGCATATTAGTTTCAGGTGTACAATATTGTGATTTGATATTTGTATATATCAAAATGTACATTGCAAAATTATCACCCCAATAAATCTAGCTGAAAGTTAAAATCCATTACCACACATAGTTAACAATTATTTTTCTTGTGGTGAGAACTTTGAAGATCTACTCTCTTAGTAACTCTCAAATGCAGTTATTTCTTCTGAATCAATTTTGGCAAGTTAGAAAGTAATATGTTTACATGAATATGACCATTTTGTCTGAATTTCAAATTTACCAGCATATAGGTATTTGTCATGTATTTTATCTTTAAATTTCTAATGGATCCATAGTTATATTCTTTAATTTGTGATATCTATTTTTTAATTTTTTGTGATATCTTTTTATTTGTCATATTTCCCTTCCTTCATCCAGTTCCTTCTTTACATTCTCCCTCCCACCTCTCATCTTTTAATGCAGAGATACATGAATCTTACTAGTGTTTTTGAAGATTGAACTTTAGAGTTTTATGATCTTCTATTATGGCTATTTTTTTTCCATTTGTTATTCTTTGTTTCTTTTACCACTTCTTAAGTTGGATACATAACTCATTAGTATTTGTCCTTTCTATTATTCTATTTAACATTATAAATTTTCTCTTAAATACTATTTTAGCAGCATCTTACAGGTGCTTACATATAGCATTTTAATTTTTGTTCAGTTTTAACTGTATTAAGGTTTCCATTAGGATTTTCTTTTTGTGCCATGGTCTGTTTTGAGGGTATTTTCAAGTTTATATATTCATGGGTTTTGGGTTATCTTTTTTTGTTGTTGTTATATATTTCTGGTTGAAATAAATCATAATCTGTATGAAACCTATTCTTGAAAAATGTTGGAAGTTGCTGGCAGAGATTGCTAGTTCTCCCCCAAAACATTTTCTTTATTCCGTAGTTTTCATGATATATGTAGTTAGAAACATATGGCCAATGATAACCTAAGAAATCTGACACAACAGAAGATTGAGATGTACTTGCACATGTGGGTTTGCTCTCTTGCACCTCTATAATGGACATGAGAAGAATATGTCTTAGGCTCTGGTCCAGTGAAAGACATGAGGATCAGTGCTGCCATAACTGGGTCCAGTCCATGTCAGCTGATCTCCAGCTACCCACAGTGCATGAGCCAGATAAATGCTTCTTGTGTACCACTGAGATTTGTGGGTCTGTATTATATGACACTAAATGAATGATACTATGCCACTTCTGTGGTCTGTTCTTTAAAGGGACATCAGGCTTGAATTGCTCTATATTTATTTCCCTTCAGTTTGAATGAGACAGGGATGTGGCTGTAACCCATCTTGGACCATGCAGACCAGCTCAGTGTCCTAAATGGGTGACAAAAAAGGAAAAGAATCCTGATACACCATGCCCAGATGTGCATCAGCCTTGATCACTCACTTTGGGACTGTTATTTTTGAGAGGACTATTTTCTGTTTCATTCCCACCCTTTTTGAGGTCTTTCTGATCTAGCAGTATAACTTTTATAATAATGGTACAGGTGCTTTATCAACTAGTATATGGTTCATTTTTGTAAATTTGTGTAATTGAGGAGACTTGCATTTTTTAATTTGGGGGTTCAGAATTTTATATATATTTAATACAGTTTGATGGTTTTAATACTCTAATCATTTGTATCTATTATATTTTGGTCAATACTAATAGTTGAGTTAAATTAATGATTTTTTCAATCTTCCTATTTCATCAATTACTATTTTCCTTCTGTTTTCTTAATATTTTGCTTTACACATTTTAAAGATATTTTATTAGATGGTTTTAAGTTTAGAATTTTTGTTCAGTTACATAAACTGGAAGAATTAAAACATAGTTTTGTAGTAGTCTTTATTTTTTATTTTAAATCATCTCTAATAACCACTAATTTTATTTTCTTCTAATATTTTATCCATGTTTATAAACATAGAGTATATACTTAATAAATGAAACTGGAATGATCTTTTATGTACAGTCTTTTCAAATAAAAATGCTAATATATTATTGTACATTTTTATATGGTTTTGTACATTCACTTTTTTCACAACATACAAGCATTTCTCATGACAGTATTCTTCAGAAACACTACCTTTGATGTACTTATAATGCTTCATTATTTTGATGTTTCATAATGTATTTTTAATTTCCTTGTATCTACTCATTTTGGGTACTTTCATTGTTTCTGAATAATTGCATGAGATTCATTGTTATATGTAAAAGCTCTGTTCATCTTATTTCTTAAGCATAAAACTCAGAATTGGCATTAAAAGGTCAAAATTTACAGAGTGTTCTAGTCTTTGTTTTGAAAGAACTATATATAAATCCCCTTTTAATAGCTGTTCCTTTCATTCATTGTTATTTTACACATTTTTTTTCTTTACCGCAGTCTTCTCTGTTTCTATTAAAACTGTCATGTGATTTATTTTCTCTTATATAGGGACTTCTCTTTCTTTGATTAGTATTTGTTGGTACATCTTTTTATCCCTTTATTTTCAGTATTTCTGAATATGCTGGTAAAAATAGCATATAGGTGGCAGTCTCTCTTATTTCTCTGATTTTATTCACTTACATGTTTTATTCTTTTTGTGATTATCGATATATTTGAATTGTTTCTACCATCTGAATTTTGGCATACTTTCTCAACTTTTTATCATTTTTTATCTTTCCTTGCTTTAAAATAATATTGATTTTTTTCCACCATGTATTTTTCTTTTACTTTTAATGTCAACCCTTAAAATTTAGTATGCACATGTAATACAATGTAAAATTAATTACTTGAATAATACAAAGATCTTTAAACCCTTTAACTCTGAATGAAACACTCATAATTAACAAATATTTTTGGTCTAGTATACTTCTGTTTTTTAACATAACAAAATAGATACCATCACTGTTATTTTAGAAGGGAATTTATAAAGACAGTGCTCATTTAGATTTGTCTACAAACTTGTTTATTTCATTTTTCTGGTTGCTTTTAAGATTTCATCTTTTTTGCCTAGCAGTTTGTCCATAATAGGTATAATTTTTTTCATTACCCATGGAATATGTTATGATTCCTGCCTTTGTGTAACCTATCTTTTCTCATCCCTCGTAATTTCTATTCATTATTGCAGTAAATATTGCCTTACTTCTATTTTTATAATTCATGCCTTTGAGGGCTGCAACTAGATATAGGTTATACTGTCTCTTTCTAGCTTCCATATTTCTTACCTCCTTTATTAAATTTTTTAAATTTCTTGTTTTCTTGTACTACATTCTTAGAAATTTCTTCATTCTTCTAGTTTTCTCTTTATATATATTGATCTTTTTAAATCTATCCTTTGTGTTTTTATATGTGGACAGTTTTGTCTTTTACTTCTATAGGCCATATATGGTTCTTACAGGACTTTTCTTGATTATTATTGATAGTTCTTGTTGTTTGCACTAGTTTGTGTGTAAACTTTTTATTTCCTTAAATGTTTCTAAGCTTGTGCTTCCTGTCTTATGGCAGGCCTAAAGCTTAATTTCCAGATTGCATTTCTGGTTTGCGATTTGTCATCACAGTAGCCCATCTTTTGCATGTGCTTAATGCCTATAGCTCTTGTGTTAGTTCAACTATTTTCCCTTATTTATGCCTCCTTTCACTTCTGTTGAGTGTGGTAAGTAAAAGTGAAATCTTTTACTTAGGTGTTAGTTGTTTATAGTGGAAAAATCCTTCAGAGTATGTAGTCTTACATATTGTAATCAAAAGTCCAATATTTAATTTTAGCAATTGTGATTCCCATTTGATGTGCTTTTAGGAGAATACAAATAAATCATAATCCATTTTAACATATAGAGGGAAATCATAACAAATCTGAGTGCTTTATTTGGAATTAAAAGTTTATACCAGTGGATAAACCCAACTCCTGATTTTCTTGATTAGAGATGAATGAAAAAATAATTTGGGAATATGTTTACTTAGGATAGAGATGGTAAGAGTTGAAGTAATGTTAAAAAGGAGCTTTAGATTTGGATAACAAGGAGAAGCATAATGTGAAATAAAATTAAGGTAATCATAAGGGAGCTGCCTTAAGTTCAGCTTCTTTTAACTGATGGTAAAGGAATATGAATAAATGTATATAGTTTTAGTGTGTGTGTGTATATTTATATATATATATATATATATATATATATGGCATTTTTTCACCCTTTTCAATAGTTTTATGTTTTCCAAATTTTTTTCTACTTCTTATTATGAACCAGACAGTAAAGACTTATTCATAGAAGAATAGGCTTATAAAATGTGCATGTAGTTACTTTATTCTTTGATCTATTATTGGAAATTTATTCAATGAGTGCATGTGAGAGAGAGTGGGTGGGAATGGATGATGGAAGAATCCTGATTTCAAGGATTTCACATGCTAGGTCAAATGTTTTTAATACTCAGGAAGAAAAATCATCTTATTTCACTTGATTATAAACAGCTACTTTGGACTATTACTATATATGTCTATTAGAAAGCTAATATAGTGTCACAATATTTATATATTATTATTTGATATTTAACTATATATATATTAATGTTTTATTTTGCATTTAATTTGCGAGGTAATTTTATGACTGAGAAGAATGAAAAACATTGGCTTTTGATTATTAAAAAATATACATTTGTAATTCACTTCATTAGAATGAGGAGTGTCATCATATTATAGAGAAAATCT